AGTAACAAAGACACCTTGACGCTCACCTGCCAATGTTGTCACCCGTTCAGGGCAGGCCTGCATGTCTGTAAGGCCGCGCATGCTCCTGTGAACGCGACGTCAGAACCCGCAACGGCGGCAAGGTGTCGCACCGCAGAGCAAGGCCGGCTGCTCGCGCTATACACAGGCGTGGCTGCAAGGTTGCATCCTTTGCAAAGTGTATTTTCCTTTAGTGGTCACAAGTTCACCCAAATAAAGATTTATTCTTTGACAGCTCGACTACTTCTTTTGTCCACATCACGAACCCTTAACGCTCCTTGAGTACTTTTGTAGACTACCAAGTGTGCCCAAAGCACCACTACTCTTAAGGACGAATACGTCAATCAAGAGTTGATCTGACAGCATGGTGCAATGAGCAGAACTGAGATGATAAAGATTGAAGTGTGTCTATCAAATGCTGAGAGTTGCGTCTTTATGGCGTGTTAGACGATGAAACTTGTGGTTTTCGTCATGTCTGCAGAAAGCCTTTGGTGAACAACATGCACAAGAGCACCATTTGTCGAGCCACACTTCACCTAGATTTGAGATCCTCTCATTATCTGATGTTTCATGCACTTTTACCGTGCAACTAAAGCAATCGGAGAGCGAGAAGCGATTAGAAGGTTACTGAAGTTTCTAAGGTCAATACTTTAATGAAGTAATGTGGGATTTGTTACTATTTGCACTTGGCAATTGGTTAGGACTAATTACTAACTGGCTGCTAAGAGGATAGTATTTGTTACAAATTTGCTGCTTGTTTTATTTACTAAGAGGGTAGTATCTGTTACTAAAATGCTGCTTGCTTAAGTTACTAAGAGGGTAGAATCTGTTACTAAGATGCTGCTTGCTTCAGTTACTAAAAGGGTAGTATCTGTTACTGAGATGCTGCTTGCTTCAGTTTCTAAGAGGGTAGTATCTCTTAGTAACCCACTGTTTGCTGCAGTTACTAAGAGGGTAGAACCTGTTAGTAAGGGGGTAGTATCTGTTATTAAGATACTGCTTGCTTCAATTACTAAGAGGGTTATCTGTTACTAACATGCTGCTTGCTTCAGTTACTGAGGTGGTAGTATCTGTTACTAACATGCTGCTTGCTTCAGTTACTAAGAGGGTAGAACATGTTACTAAAAGGGTAGTATCTGTTCTATCATACTGCTTGCTTCAGTTACTAAGAGGGTAAAACCTGTTACTAAGAAGGTAGTATCTGTTACTAAGATGCTGCAACTTCAGTTACTAAGAGGGTAGCACCTTTTACTAGGAGGGTAGTATCTGTTACTAACACAGTGCTTGCTTCCGTTAATAAGGGGGTCGCAACTGTTACTACGAACGTAGTATCTGTTACTAACATCCTTGCTTAGTAGCGGTTACTAAGCCTCTTGTTACTAACTCCAGTTACTAAGAGGGTAGTAACATATGTTACAATCACTTAATAAGTGAAACTTAGTAGGTATTACAACCTTTTTTTAAGTGTAGTCGGCACCAGAGTTGCCAGTTTCACCTTTATTAGGCTGTCTTATGCTTCTTTTTTTCTACGAGCCACTAAATATATTCAGTCACTTGTCGCGTTTTTCTTTTTTTTTGGGGGGGGTGTATTTCACTTTTCCAGCAAATTGGTATTTTAGTGATCATGACATTCGCCAATACACATTTGACCAACGTAGTGTTTCTCCATGACCGATTTGCTGAGTACATTGGGCATGCGCAAGGATCCTTGTCAAGGGAGACGAGGGTTCATCGCAATGCCCTCCCTCCCATCCTGCTGAATGGATGTATGGGGCAGATTTTTTCAGCCGTCTCCTTTAGGTGACTAGAGTGGCCTGCCTCCCTCCCCCCTTCTCGTCTTGCTCCCCGAGCGCACATTTACGGTTTAGTGTTCAAACATTCATAGAGAGAAATTCAAGGAAACATTGAGTAAATTCTATGATGAGCGAAAACATGCAATGTTAATCATATGCTGGTAAACATGCCTTCAACCAAGTGGGAGTTTTGAAATTATTGAACCAAAATCTCTACTCGCTTCGAAAGTAAAATTTATTATTCACAAAATCCTATTTTATAGAGATTGTAAGTTAATTGATACGAATATTTTAGTCATTTTTGAGGATTAGATATCGATGATGAATATTTAGTTATTGACAATCTGGTTGTGAGCATTGCTAGCCTTGTTATGGAATGTACTGAGCACTTTGTTCTTAGTGTGACCACGCTATTCGAGATTTGTGGATGGACGGCAGACATGTTTTACCTTGCCTTGTTGCACTTTTTATCTACAACACGATGCTTTCTATCCACTTGTGCAGTTTTCCGCCTTAATTTGCATTGTGGCACAAATTAAGGGGTGCATTAGCAGGGTGCGTAGTACAGATTCTTCAAAACCTTGTAAACGTTTGGGCTTGAAAAATGCTTTTTCAAGGCCCTGGAAAGTCCTGGAGTTTTTTTCCTGTCCTAGAAAATTTTTTATTTTCTGAACACTGCCTGTTGACACTGCGGCTTCATTTAAGTTGTAGATACTTGCCCCTGGATTTCGACCAGTTTTCAGGAACGTTTGTACGATTGTCAGGAAATTCAAGCGCAGATTGTAATTTCTTTGCAGGATCTCACCGAATAGACAAAAATGCAGCCCAATTCAATCCACGTTTCTTGCGAACCCATCGCCTTATATTCTAAACGAAATTAGGAGGCCTCCCTCAAAACTTCCACTAGGCCGAAATTCGGATGTTTCGAGCTCTCTTGCCCATCGCGGCGGGTCGTATGAACTTTAGTGCCGCAACAGTGGCAAGAAGGCCGCGAGCAGCTTGTTCAAAGCTTTTGGAAGACGGACATGACTAGCGCACGCACTACCAGAACTGCATTTATTGTTTGCCACAATCGCTGTCGACGAAACCACAGTCGCTCTTGATACGACTATATGTGGGGTGACGAAGTAACTGACAGAACTGCGAAAGTGCACGTGCGTTCAGCGCTCGACCAGTCAAAGTTACCTTGCTTTTCACAAACCTTGCAGACAAAATCTCGGATGATGCGATCATAGATATTAAAAAACGACATGGTTTTGAAGGCACCTGCACGGCCAGCGCACGGGAATTGAAAATGGAACTACCGTGTTCCGCAACCACCGCTTGCGAAACCGCAGTTGCAGAGACGTCATTACTAGCCGAGAGAACGCGGCTAGCGGAGTGGTAGAGGCGATAAAATGGAGTTTTAGAATAGCGCACCACCACTCCTTCGAGTGCGGCTATGGCCACTGCGCATGCGTCGTAGAAAATACGAAATACGGCCCCCAAAGGAGTGAGCGAGTGTGCTGCGAGCGTGCATCGGCGTTTTCGCGGGCAACCTCTATTCTAAAACTCATTTGGCATTCTTACACAAACGCTATGCCCACAACGTCTGCTAACGCTAATAGGAAGCTTTAGACTAGGGAGTTTTAGAATACCGTTTGCAAGCGCTGCGGGCGTTGCGGGCGTAGTGGGCGCCATATAAGTTTTAGAATAGCGTTTGCCCTACTGCGACCCACAACGCACAATGGCAGCGACACCGTAGCCTCGAAGCCAGCGCTTGCAGGCCACATGCGGGCCACTATGACCACACGCAATTTCGGATTTTTTGCGTGCGGTCCGCGAACGAGAACGCCGACTCGCGTTACGAGGCATACGCAGTGGCAACGACTGCACCGCGAGGGCTCACGGTGCGCTATTCTAAAACTCCGTAATAACGTTGCAGGCGTTGCGGGTGTTGTGGGCGTAGCGGGTGCCATATGAGTTTTATAATAGCATTTGCCCTAACCACAAACACAAATGCACCATCGCTCCTACACCATAGTGTCGAAACCTGCGCTTTGCGGACCTTGCAAGCCGCACGTATTTCGTATTTCCTGCGGGAAAACCGGAAGAATTTATGGTGGCTCCCATTACGACCATGCGCAGTAGCAGCAACCGCACCTCAAGGGCTTGCGGTGTGCTATTTTAAAACTCTCTAAAAATGTAAAAAAAACACTAGAAGCATTTTGGCGTTGCTGTTTGAAAAATCTAGTAACTTTCCTGCCGGTCTGGGTACTTTGGCTATACTTTGGCATTAGTTTTCAGTTGGCTTTAGGCGAAGCTCTACCCACGCTTTCCCGGCTGCCGGCTGCGCCGTCTTATCTGTTCACGGGTGTCCCAGGAAGATATACGCGAGTTTTTTTTTTTTGACAGAAATGAATTTTGCTAGTTATTTGGACGACGCAATATTTTGAAATATACAAGTATGTTTGCCCCCTTCCTGTTTTTGAAATTCGCACCATTCACTGTAGTTGGGAAATCCTACACTCGGGTGCTCGGCCACTCCAAGCTGGTATGAGACCGTGCAACATCGATTCTTACTGACACCACCTCCACCAGCCTGTTTTACTTTCACGATGTGTCTTGCTGCAAAAAAAAAAGAAAGGGGGGTGGGCAAGTGAATGAGCGCCACACCCCTGCCCTCTTTTCCGTTGCGGAAATTTCCCAGATTCAGAATCCTTGAACTTGGCAGGTATGAATCGGCATCAACCTGAAAAACTTCCCATTTCCGAAAGAGTAATGTGGCGTGAGTTGCTATGGTTATGTTTTCCAAACCTGCATGCGGAATAGTTTTCCTGTGTCAAACAATGAGCAAACTAAGTGAGAGACTCGTAATGCTCCTCGGTACTGGTTCTTTCCTTGTTGTGTAAGTGGTGAAGCCAGTAAAGGTAAACTGAGCTAAAGTGCAAAAGTATACATGTTTGTTATAATTTAAATGTACATGTATTATATTGATGCAATAACAACGCGTAAATTTAGAAACTTCAAAGAAAAAATTTAGAACATTGCGTGTGGCTTTAGTTCTTCAAAAATCTGTGACAGGTCCCGGAAAGTCTTTAAATATCTTTCAATTTTCGCTTTGGAAACCTGTGTGAACCCTGTTTAGTTACGAGGAATAAGCTCACATGCTGTAGTGAACTGTTACGTTCTCATTTTTTTTTGCTGCAGTGATGACAATCCATTCATGACAGACCTGGCACATCCAACTCTACTGCGAACTGTGAAAATGCTCTGTGACTGGCTCGTGGGACGCACTGATTTGATCGGACCTTGCACACAGGTAAGGTTTAACATTGTTTGCGGCTGCACGCTTACCCTCTATCTTCAGATATAGATAAATTATAGTCGGAAGGTACAATTAGGCTGCATCAAAAGCAGCATTCATCTTGCTTAACTCACGTTTTCATTGTCACTAGGTCAAAACACCCTTGTGGCAGCACTTGGCCTCCCTCCTAAACTTGGTGGTGCCATTCATCTCACCACCGTATCCTATCGGTGAGTAACCATAGCGGAGTGCTCTAGCTGTCCAATGCTTCCTTTTCTTTGTGGAAACACCTATGAAATCCATCACTTGTGCAGAACTTACAGAAAAGACGCAACCGGACATGCAAACCATGTGCCCATTACCAGAAGACATCTGCCTGCAGGGAACTGAAGCATTGGCTGCAGCTCACAGCAATATTGACTGGAAGCTGAGGGCACAAGATGGACAAGAGTGCCAGGTACGGTGCGTTCAGTAGCACAGTGAATGGGGCAAGAGCAGAAACAAAGCCAGATTTTTTTTTAACTTAGAGGGGGTTGAACCCTTTCCCTTTTCCTCTTGGCTACGCCCATAAGCAAGAGACCTGGGTATTTATGGGGACATTACTGAATCGCTTGTTTGTACATATCTGCATTTGCTGAGAACATAGGGGCAAAGCGTTGAAAGACATTTTAGTAGCCAATGCGCACTAAGGGCTGCTTACTTAACAAAATAAGTAATACTGAGCATGCTAAGCTTGCCATGCATACTAATGCATACTAAGTTAGCCAGGCAGATGTGATTAGGAAGCTCGCGGGTGGCAGCAGCAAGCACCGGACCGAGTTGACTGATGGACAAAAGAGAGGCCTTTGTCCTGCATTGGGCCTAGTCAGGCTACTGCTGCTGCTGATGATAATGAAGTGTTTCTCATTGTATGCGCCAGGTGCATGCATAATATGAACTCTTTTGTTACCCCGCAGAAATGTTTATTTTTTATATGTCTCGAGAAAATAGTTTTTGCCAGTTTGGAAAGTACTGCAGCACGCATGGCATCATGCCAAATTTCGCGTATTGAAGTGCTCTCTCCGAAAAGTATATGTTGGAATGAATAAAAATTCGAAAAGTGTGTAATTTTGTTGCCAGATGGCAAACAGTGCAACAAAAATACTATATATACAAAAATATTCAAAATGAATAAAACTCAAAGTAAACATTTTGGAGATAAGTGACCTAGAAACATAATAACAATAATAAATGTCATACGAAATCATTTTTACAGTCCATTAAAAATACCACACATACAAAAATATTAAAAAAGAATAAAACTCACAATAGACAATCTGGAGATAATTTACCCAGGAACATTATAACAATAATAATTGTCGTACGAAATGGTTCTGTTCACATAGACAAGAAAATTCGGAACCGAGGTGCTCCTTCATTTCTTGTGCCATGTGGTGATGAAGCCTTCCTTGGTTTTTCACGAGACGCAAGTAAACTCATACACTTTTCTCAGTACCTTTTTTTGCGATAAGAGCCTGCAGGTATTTTAATCTAGATGGATGCTTTTGAGGTGAACAATCCCTCTCTGAATCAGATGTTCAATGAGCTTCACTATTCCATCTCGCATCACCTATCTCCACAAGCCACCTCACTCCACACAGGTTGACGTTCAAATATGTGCATCCCTGCATATTTTTTGGCATTTTCGCACACTGTATAAAAACAGTATTCCATGCAGTTCTAAACTGCCTCCACTGTTCCGTAGTAAGGGCCAGGGTGTGCTACGTTGGCCTTCTTGTCATGAGGAAAATCTCTGCCGCCCACGCCAGCGCATAACGCACTAGCGACGTGTAGACGTCATACGTAACCAGGGTAGCTATAAGATTGTGCACGGCGGTCAGCAGCCACGCACTTGCTACGCACTGGCACACCATGCAGTGTTACGCAGCAGCTACGCTCTGGCGGTGAAGACAACATGAGGCTGTAAACAAAACAAACTCATGATCGGCTGTGGATGTCTCTGGCTGTCGCAAACCCTCGCCATAAAACTTGAAGCTGAGGTGCTGTTACCCCCCGACCTTAAGCTCATTCTAACACGATTTGGGTCCAGTATCGAGACAGTTACGAGCAGCGTGTGTTTTTTTTTTTTTTTTTTGCAGTGCAAGTATGCACCTATGCGCTCGTTACAATGATGCCATAGGAGCGACTAGTGACACTAGATGCGGTACTGTGTCGGATATGACATTACAAGCGGAACCAAAGCTGCTAGAAACTGGCTGAGAAGGCCACCTCCACAATTCATACATGCGGCGGAAGTACGTAAACATTATTGTGTGAAATAAAGTTTGCCTGACTTCAAGCAACAGCTTTCTGTTGAGCAGCTCACATAGGTTTCTGGCATTACTGCTCAGCACTCTCAGATTGCAAAGCTGACAACTCAATTTGATGTTTGACTTGCAAAGGTTCTTTTGATTACTGAGTAACTTAGATGTTACTGTAGCATAACCACGAGGGGCATGCACTTCTAACAAGTTCGCCAGGCAAGTATATTTTCCGAACAACACAAGCCCACTGCTTCGGGCAAAGGTCTGTCAAAAATCACTATGTTGCGAAACAGGCAAATTCAAATTGATTCTGAAAGTTAAGTAGCTGAACAAGCTACTACAAAGTGCTGCGTGCAGGGGAAACAAATTCAAAATGCTAAAATCAACGATTCAAAACGTTGACCACTGGTTATTGATTTGAATTGGCGTTGTAGCGAATAAAAGCTAGCAGACAATAAAAGTATAAGGAATGTTTGTAGCAGTAGTCATATGAATGTGAATAAAAGTAAAGTAGACAGAAAGATGACCTGTTGCCAACAGGGACCGAATGTACAATCTTCGAAATATCAATAGGGAGGAGGAGATTAGATTTAAAATATGCCTGTCTCAAGCAAGGGTGCTGTTATTAGGGCATCTGTAAATTGTTGGTGCTCATTGGCTGTGGCAAGGCCATAACCTTCACAAATAGTGTAGTGAACGTTATTATCAAAGCATAATTCCTAAGAGGAGTAACAATCCAGCTAGGCTGCCGCTGGTCAAACAGACTTTCTTGTGAATGAACACATGGTAGCAAATTTGTGCTTAGCTATGCCACTAGTAACGTTATTACTAATTGTGACGTGTGATAAAACATATGCCAGGTAAGGAATACATAATGCAAAGCATTTTTTAGGTATGGTTTATGCAATGCGAACTGGAAAGTGAATTTCAGAAGGGAGAAGGTTAAGGCGCATTGGTTATTCATCGTTCTTCTTAAAACTACTACAAAGTGCTGCGTGCAGGGGAAACAAATTCAAAATGCTAAAATGAACGATTCAAAACGTTGACCCCTGGTTATTGATTTGAATTGGCGTTGTAGCAAATAAAAGCTAGCAGACAATAAATATATAAGGAATGTTTGTAGCAGTTGTCATATGAATGTGAATAAAAGTAAAGTAGACAGAAAGATGACCTGTTGCTAATAGAGACCGAATGTACAATCTTCGAAATATCAATAGGGAGGAGGAGATTAGTTTTAAAATATGCAAAAACACGGGGCTCTTTCTGTCCCGTGGTTTGTGCGCTTTGTTTGAACAATATGTCCGACAAATTGTCTGAATGAAACCTAAGTGTGAATTCTATCTGTACTGCCATTGTGCAGCAGGTAATTGCAGATTAAGATAAGCAGCGCTCATTTTGTGAGCCTTTTATGGTGTTTGATGCCCCTATGCGCAGCTACGCCTTCTGTACCTGGTGCGCTTTGGGCAGTGGCTATCTCAGAGACCAGGATCTGGGTTGCTATACAGCCATGGCCAGTTCCAGCACAAGGTGCCGACAATGACCAATAGCACTTCACCAGGGTCATTAACCAAGGCAAGTAGCTTTCCTTTTTCATTATTACGCCTTTCTGCATTGTGGAAAAATGTTAGCAGGAATGTTAAGTCGAGCACCATTTTGCCTAGAGAGACCCGGAAACAGTTTCGACGATATTGTACAAACGCGTTGAGCCGGTAAAGCAAGTTTCGAGGATCATTCGCACACCTGATTAAAGGGAAGATGAAGAAGTTTCAAACTTCGACAAAACTGTGTGGTTATCAAGGGCCAACATTGTCAACAATTTAGTAAGTTTTCCCACATTGTTGCACCAGGAGAATTAAAATAAACACTTCCGCCAATCTGACATGCTGCGCCGAGCTGCGTGTAAACGACAATTGCAAGCACCACGCTAAATTCAGGGGGTCAAGAAGAGAGCAGATTGGATCCGGGAACAATTTGGGGTTAAGGTTATCATAGTTGATATCAAGAAAAAGAAATGGACATGGGCTGGGTATGTAGCACGTAGGGAGAATAAGCGCTGGTCATTAAGGGTAACTGACTGGATTCCCAGAGAAGGCAAGCGGGTTAGGGGAAGACAAAGTTAGGTGGGCGGATGGGATTAAGAAGTTTGCGGGTGTAAAGTGGCAGCAGCAAGCATAAGACCGAGTCGACTAATGGAATATGGCAGAGGCCTTTGTCCTGCAGTGGACGCATTAAGGCTGATGATGCTCATTAACTGAGCAACACGCGCTAGATACATGAAAAAAGAAGCCACATACATATTCCTTTAAAGGCCTAACCACACGCATCCATTGCAGGGCGTCAGCGCGTGGCTTTCTCGATGCGGTACCACGCCCTCTTTCTGTAGAGAGAAAGGGCGCGCAGCATTCCTTAGCCACGTGCCCTTTCTTTCCATAAGGAAAAGGCGCGGCACCGCGCCAAGAAAGACACGCACTGACGCGCAGCTACGGGTGCGCGGGTGAAGCCTTTAGTTCAGTCCTGTCGCCTTTCTGTTCAGCATGGTGCTCAACGGTGTTGCAGAGTTACCACTTCGGAATAGGAATGATTCCAGAATCACTCCACATGGTTGCGGCCATGAAATGGAGTGAGAAATACGCTGGGCAGAATAAAATTTGAATGAAATTGAGCGCCATTTTAGCAGTTTGCATCAAGCGCATTCAAGCGCCCATCAAGCGCCTGGGAATCACCCTCAATCTCAAATCAGCTCATGAAGTGTGTTAGCTGACCGCGTCACTCACTTTACGGGGGACGACTCAACAACCGACTTCGACGGGGCACACAAAGGTTCCCCAGGCACATATACTCAGGTCCAAAAATATTATTACATGGCTGGGAGAGAGTTTCCCCCTCCTCACCCCGAACTCAATAGATCTCAGTCTCTCTGCCTACGATTATTGCAGACACACTCGTATTCGTCCCTCACATACCTGACTGAAATCTACCCGCATATGTACCCTGACGCTTCCTGCACCGCATGTGGTCAGGAGCTCGCTAATATAGCTCACAGGCTTTTGGAGTGCGGGTCGGTAGGCTCGAAGTACAGCAAGCCCAGATGGGAAGCCATGTTGCACAGTTTGAAGTCCAAAGACCAAATCCTGGCCGCCCGATACGCCCGCGACAGGTCCCGCAGGCTAGGCCTGTCGGTACCTACGTGGGGCGAGCCTGGTGGGCGCTCGGGACACTCTCCTCTACGTGTGACTCGCCATAGCTTGCCGGCTCACAACACCAGGTGGCAATATGTTCCCTCCCATTAGAGCATCTACTCGATGCTCATACACATGAGAACATCAGGGCTCATAAAAAAAAACGATACTTATAGTGCACAGAACATTGAACGTGAAAGAAAACGTAGTCTGTGGTCAGCCATAAAAAATTATAACACAGTTAACAGTTCTCCGGAGAACCTACAAACAAGGTGAAAGAAAAAAGTGTTTGATCCCCGGGCACATTAGGCGAATATCACCACGTAAAATATGGCTTTAGCAGGATGGCATGCACAATCTCTGTGCGTGGTAAGTGGCACTGGGTTGTTGCTGAGCTTCTGTCTGGGATAACTTCATAATAACCTCGTTCAACCGCCGTAATACTTTTTGGGGTCCAAAGTGCTTCCTCAGGCGTTTCTTGCTCAGACCTCGCCGTCTAACAGGAGTCTAAACTCAAACTTGGTCGCCAGGTTGATGGGTAACTTGTTGATGGTGGATATTGTACCTTTAGGCCTTTACACGTCACTGCGATCTTATGTGCGAACGACCCACTCGACGCGTTCCCTTTGCACGCCGAATGCAATCCTGGACGTCAAGACTACTCGTTCTGAAAGATGTCATAAGGAATCATGGCGTCTACCATGGTTTGCACGTCTCGACCGTAAACGAGGCGGAAGGATGCGAACCTTGTCGTTTCCTGGGTTGCGGTGTTGTATGCAAACATTACGTATGACAGAATCTCAACCCACGTTTTACGCTGCACATCCACGTACATAGAAATCATGTCCGCCAGCGTTTTGTTCAGCGATTTTTGTCAAGCCGTTACTTTGGGAGTGGTATGCGGTTGTCCTCTGGTGGTTCGAGAAACTGGGGCCGAATTCACAAAGCTTTTTCTTTGGCTACGCATTTTCTTAGCCAAAAGTTCTCTTATCTAGAGGGATTACTATAGCGCGGGTATGAATTTAACTTATTCGGCACTTAAGAGGGCAAGGAGGACACACGATAGCCGATGAAACGACAAGGAAAGAAAGAAGTGTGTGCCGATAATATCAAGGTAGCACGCAAAGCGTCTAGCATCGAGAGTATACGATGATAGCCAATGATTTGCTGCATCTAAGTTTCAGTTCCGCGAGCGTCTGCTACAGCGCTTACGGGATGCCGCGTACGTTGTAATAGACGTTTTGGTGGGCTGTGCAAAGCCAAGCACTCGCCTTTAATTAACGACTGTAGCTTAAAAAATAATTGCTCGATGGCCTTAAGCCACCGAGCAATCCATGCACTATCTCGCCAAGTACAAGTAAACAACACTCCAGGTGTACCACATAAATGAAACCACACATAAACCGATGCATGCAATGTTTGAAAATGTGCCTTCAATGTCTTCCCCTATTTAACGCGACCAGTTACCTTGATTGATTGATTTGTGGGGTTTAACGTCCCAAAACCACCATTTGATTATGAGAGACGCCGTAGTGGAGGGCTCCGGAAATTTTGACCACCTGGGGTTCTTTAACGTGCACCCAAATCTGAGTACACGGGCCTACAACATTTCCGCCTCCATCGGAAATGGACCAGTTACCTTACATTTCATTAAAGCTGCGCTGCTACTTAACTATTTCGGTGCAATCTAGCACGGTATTGTGGTGAACGTAAGGGTATTTTGTACATATAGTCTTTGTTACAATATTCTTATTACAAGACACATGAGCGACTTTGGTGTTTGCAGACGAATTGTGCGGAAATAGATAACAGCAGTAATCAAATGAAATTGTGAGCGCAATTTCGCTGGTTCCATGCACCGCAGCATTTTTATAAAGCAGGAATGCGAGAACGTGCATACGCTTACGCTTAGGTATATGTCTACGTAAAATGAGGGAGACTCGTTGGGAGGTGTCTCAGTGCTAATGCTTTTCACAAAACACGGTGCAAATATTTCATCCAGCGTCGTTTGAGTGCGCAAACAAAGCAAGGGACGTGTATACGAGTCTTGAGGTCGAGAGACGTTATCACACGTGCGAAAAGGATGAAAAGAGGGAGAGAGAGAGACTCTCGTTTCGGCTTCGCAAAAGCTTGAAATTGATAGATAATAAAGACCATTTTCTGGCCCAGCAGACGTCAGGGAAAGTCTCCGAAAAGCAGCGTCAGATGCTCGGAGAGCATAAAAAAGTGAAGTACGCGTTATATGGGAGTGACAGCCACTCAGAAAGCGAGATGAAGTGTAACTGTCCTTAGATGTGAGAATCAATGCTAATTAGGAGAGTTGAGTTAATGAGCCAAAACTTTCCTAGATAACGATAATGGAAGCAAACTGAGCATTCATCTAGTGAAAGTGACACTAGTGACAGTGTATTTTTATTTTTTTATTTATATTTGGCAAACTATGAGCAGGTAGCCTACGTTAGAGCCGGCTATCACAACGTCATGAAAGTAATATACAAGAATAAATAGCGCACGGTTATACAATCACACGTGGCGGTTGCTATCTTCTAGTAACCTTGGGCAAACGCATTCTATTTTTTCTATTTTTGACAAAGTTTCACCGGACGTTTTTGCATTTTGCTTCATTCGAAGGAAGGACGATATATCAGCAATAGGGCGAATGCAAGCACTGCTGCAGTGGTCGAGTGGTTACAGCGCTCAACTACAATTTAGGAGGTACTTGGTTCGATTCGCAGAATCACTGAGCACTTTTTTTTTTCAAGAGGTTGCCCGGCCTGACATTATGCGTGGTGGCGGGTACTAATTTTTTGAGAAGTAGGCTTCCGCTTTTGCTTCTTTCACTCCCCTTTTGACCCAAAAGCGCTGTACTGTGCTCCTTCAAAAATTAAACAATTCAGGGTTCATAATTTTCTCCTCCATCCTCTCTTATCGCAAAGTGTCCAGTGCTGAAATACCAATATCATACCTGGTATATTACTTTTCACTTGTTTCGATATTCGACCAGCAATCAGTCTTCACGGTGTTTTGAAGAAAATCTACACATGCAGTGAGCTAACTGCTTGCAGCCAAGTTGACTGCCTTTCTAGGGACGTGCTTTCGTGCTAATTTGGTGGGCATCATCAGATGCAGCAAGACCAAAGAGCACGGACAGTTAGAGCTGACGCAAACAGAGTGATTAGTTTGTGTCTTCTCTCCCGCTATTTGTCATGCTGCACGCTTCAGTGTAATGTCGCTGTCAATGGTTAAAATGAACTATACCAGTTAATCGAGTTCTGCTGAGAGGGTCCCCTATTGTCCAGAATGGAACAGAACAATGGCAATTTGATTTGTGTGATAAAGAGATACCCTGCTTTTGGTTACTAGAATAAATTTCTAAACTGAAGTTTATTTTTT